AGGTCAGAGGACAGCCTGAGGGAGTTGCTTCTCTTCCTCCCTCCTCCGGGACCCAGGGACTGAACTCAGATCATCAGATTTAGCTGCAGGTATCTTTACCAATTGAGCAGTCTCACAGGCTGGGGCCTTGAGCTCCTGATCCTCCTGATTCCTCCTGGGTGCTCAGCTCACAGGCATGCAGCACCACTGGTTTATGTGGTCCCACATATCAAACTCAGAACTTTAGGCTTGCTAAGTGTGATAGCTAATCTTGGTTGTCAACTAAAGCCCAAGTAGCTGGGCATGCCTGTGAGTGGTTTTCTTGATTGAATCATGTGAGGTGGGCTCACCCTAAATCTGGATGTTTGAAGTAGGAGGATACACCTTAAATCTTGGCTACACCTTCTTGGGGCAGCTTATATAAAGAGCATGAAAGAATGGAGTTTTGTTTTTTGCCTGCTTGCCCTCACTTTCTCTGGCAAGTTCATCTAACCTGATGCTGAGGCATTCCTTCGCTGGTCATAGAACCTACTTCAGGATTCCAATGAAGACTGAAAGACCAGCTGAGATATCCAACCTTGTGGACTGACCCACTACCAGATTCCTGGCCTTTCTGTCAAGAGATCACTGTTGTTGGATGGGCTAAACCATGGCTTGTTAGCCACTCTAATAAATCCATGTATGTATGTATGTATATAGAGAGAAAAGGTGGAGGGGAGAAAGGGAGGGAAGGAGAGAGAGGGGGGCGATATTTGGGGCTGAAAAGATGGCTCAGCAGTTAAGAGTACTTATTTTTGCAGAGGATCCAGGTTTAATTCCCAGCATCCATATGTACTCATAACTGTCCCTAACTCCAGTGCCAGAGGATCCAACTCCCTCTTCTGACTTCCTTAGGCACCAGGCACACACATGGTACACAGATGTACATGCAAGCAAAACACTCATACACATAAAATTAAATAAATCTTTAATATACTCATTCATTCATTCATTCATCCAGTTCCTTTACAGAGTCCTGACTAATAAACTAAGCGTGCACTTAACCAACTGAGCTACATCCCCAGCCCACAGACACAAGTTTTTTATCATGAATGTTTTATCACAAATACACGATGTCTCCAGCCAAATGCCTTTTCTGCTTAAGTTGATACAATCATATGACTTTTCTTGTTGATTTTCAAATACTGAAACATCTTGTGTAACTGGGATGAAGCCCAGTTAGTCGGGGCATGTCATTCCTTTTGTACATTCTTAGATTTGATCTGCCAATGTTTTCATGGGTGTACTTGCATAAGTTTAGGAGAGATAGAGATTTGTGGTTTTCTTTTTCTGTGCTGTCTTGGTATGAGAGTAAAACTGGTCCATAAAAATCAGTGAAGTATTCCCTCTTCTGTTTGGAGGAACAGATCTTATATTTGGCAAAGCACTCCAACTCAGCTCAGGATTCCTTTATCTTTTTCCTTCTGTTTACTTTCTTGACCATGCCAGTTTTTTGTTGCTGTGACGAAGATACTTGAGGTAACTTACAGTGGTTCATGGTTTCCAAGGTTTCAATACATGGCTACTGGCCCCATCAATTGGGGCCTGGGATGAGGCAGACCATGAGCACGTGGAAGAGGACTCCATCCACCTAATGGTGCCTAAGAAGAGAGAAAGAAGAGTAAGGGACCAAGATACATCTTTCCAGTAACCTACTTCTTCTAACTGGACCCCACCACCTGCTGTTTAGTACCTCCCAACAATGCTGTCACATTGAGAATCCATGATAAGCCCATTGCTTAGACCAGAGCCCTTAGGGCCAGTTATTCCCCAAGCCTACCAACCCCAACTATAGGAGCCTGTGGGGACAGATATTCAAACTGTAACCATTTTATGTGTGTGTCTTATAGGTAACACGAAGTTGGGTCATATTATTTTCATCCACTATCCCGTTCTTTCTCTCTCTTTTCAAGATTTATTTAATTTTTCTAAAGTGTGTGTGTGTGTGTGTGTGTGTGTGTGCATGTCTATGGCCTGCCCCTGGGGCATGGCTGAGAGGGAGCCCCTTACATGCTTGCCACTTCTGGATACCGTGTGGTCCTGGAAGCTGGATGGGAGACCAAGCCAGAGTTCTCCGCTGGATGGTACCTCATCTCTCCAGATCCTGTAACTAACCCCTATTGGCTGTAAGTTATCCCAGAAACAAACCTCTCTTGATTACCAGATAAATTACGTGGAATTGCCTCGTTAAATACAGTTATGCCTCTCTCCAGCCCCTGAACTACTCACATTGAGCACAACTGCAGAGATGCTGGGGCTAAGTCTGCTATTTATATGTGTCTCTTTTTTGCATATGGCCCTGTTTGCTGTGTGCCTGACTGCTGTTATTTTTCCTTTTGTTTTGCTTTTTTCTTGCCTTTCTACCGGCTGCTTTGTCCTTCGTGATGATGCATTTATAAAGTTGTTGCGGTTGTACCACATTGTAGTTTTCTTGTTCTGGGCATTGTCATAGCCATAAATAACTTATCACAATCTACTGGTGTCATTTTGCCCTTTGTATCCTTGGACCTGTCCCACCCGCTCCCACTCCTCATGGTGCTGGGAATGGAATCCAAGGCTTTGTGGGTACTAGTCACACATCCTACCAGTGAGCCACACTACCTCCAAACCCCTGCCACTTCAAATGTGTAATCTCCTCCAGGAGTTGCTCCATATACATCGAGCACCATGGTTGATCATCCCACTTTAACCATAAAATGTGATTAAGAGAACTCATGAAGTGAAGCGTCTACACCCACCTCATTGTGGCTTCCCTTTCGAAGGTCCAGCTGCTGTTTTCCTCCGTTCCGGAGAGCTTCCTTTAGCCCTTCTCTAAAGGTCTGCCGGTGAGGGGGTCCTGCAGGTGTCCAGCCAGGGGAGCGAACTTGTGAAGAAATGAGAATGAAAACATGGTTCAGACTGACTCTGTCAACCTGGATCAGACTCCAGGGATCTAATGCCGGGTGGTTCATTGTCAGCGTATTTAAAACAGTACAGTTTAGGAAAAAGTTTCCAGGCAACAGTCATTCCCATTCTAGGTTTCCTGGTAACAGTCATTCCAATTCCAGGTGCACAACATAGCTTAAGGTGTGACAACTTGTAAACTCCTTTACAAAGTACATGTAACCCTGAAGATGGGTTCTATAGCCAAAGGGCCTAGAATCTAGTGTGGTCTCTGACTGAGATAGGATAGAGGTCAGAAGGCCATAAAGTACATGTGACATCTCCCGTAAGGATAGGTAACAGTCCAGGGAGGGAAGAGAACAAGATAATCATTCTGGGGGATTTGGGTGAGGGCTGCCTCCAAAGGAAAAGATGGGTGAGGTCTGCCTCCACAGATAATCAAAAGGTCACTAGGTCATTAACAATATCCACTCCCAGCCTTCTGGGTGGGAAAACAGGTATTTTATCTCCTCCACTGAAGAGAGGCCCCTGTATGTTTAACATCCCTAGTTCACAAGAGCTCTGTGGGCACAAGGACCTCTGTGCCCCAGCATGCCAGCAGCACATTTCCTCCATTTTCCTTTACTTGGGTGTCCTCGTCCCTTTAATTCCCTAACAACAATCTGACCTGCTATACGGTCTGGGGGTCTTGGGTCTTCTAGGAACTTGAAGGGTACCACTTCCTCCTACCTATCATTTCGGATGAGAATCCTGCCAGTATCTAATTGTTCTTTGGTAGGTAATTGCCCCCTTTCTCTTCAGCTGCTTTAAAGATGTTTGTTTGTTTGTTTGTTTGTTTTTCAAGACAGGGTTTCTCTGTGCCCTGTGTCCTGGAACTCTCTTTGTAGACCAGGCTGACCTTGAACTCACAGAGATCCGCCTGCCTCTGCCTCCTAAATGCTGGGATTAAGGGCGTGCACCACCACCACCAAATTAAATCAATCCCAGCACTGGGAGGCAGAGCTAGGCGGATCTCTGAGTTTGAGGCCAGCCTGGTCTACAGAGCGAGATCCAGGACAGGCACCAAAACTACACAGAGAAGCCCTGTCTCAAAAAATCAAAAACAGGCTGGGTGGTGTTGGCGCACGCCTTTAATCCCAGCACTCGGGAGGCATAGGCAGGCAGATCTCTGTGAGTTTGAGGCTAGCCTGGTCTACACAGGCACCAGGACAGGCACCAAAGCTACACAGAGAGACCCTGTCTCAGGAAAAAAAAAAAAACCAAAACCAAAAAAAAGGCATGTGCCACCCACCGCCTGGCTGCTTTAAAGATTTTTAAGTTGTTTTTGATTTGAGAACTTTGTGTCTTATGGATTTCTTAGGAGTTCTATTTGAGAGTTACTCTTATTCTTGGGTCTGTAGACTTACATCTTTCACCAAGGAAATATTCAATCATTCAGTGAGGACTTGTGGTCCCAAAGTCTTGTCCTCACCTTCCAGAATTCTTATGGTATAAATTCTTTTCTATACAGTTTCTCCTTATCCTCAGAGTTATGTTTCAAGACTTACAGCAGAGATGCTTAAAACTACAATTTAGGTACTGTTTTCCCTCCTACACATGCATTCCTGTGGTAAAGCTTAATTTATAGATAAATCAAATTGTTAATTAGGCACAATGAGGTAAATAAAAGAACAAACAACAAAATTGGACAATTGTAACAATGTCATATAATACAAGTTTATACATTGGAGCCATTATTAATTAATGTGAGGGTTGCCTGAACTGCAATACCACAACAGTTCATCTGATAACCAAGATGTCTGCTAAGTGACTAATAGACAGGTAGGATATGGAAAGGGGATGCTTCCTATCCTGGATGGTCTGGACCAGGGCGGCATGCACTGTCATCGTGCCACTTAGAATGGCATGCAGTTCAAAAGTTATGAACTGTTTTTTTAAGACGTTTTCTCCCAAATGCTTTCCCACTGCCCTTGACCCCGGATAACTGAAACCATCCATGGACAGGGAAATCACAGACAGGGGAGAGTTGACATCATACCTCAGGTCTCAGCTTATTTTTCTTTTTCAGTCTGTTTTTTTTTTTTTTCCCTGTTATTCAGACTGAGTAACTTCCTTCAGTCTGTCTTCAAGTTTAAAGATCCCTCCGTCATCCCTATGGGATTCTGAGAACAACTGAAATCAGGTAAGCATAGTGCATAGTATTTGTCATCTCCATGTGACTAAGTCTGTCCTGTAAGATTTGAAATTGTGATTCTTGCATTTTCCAGTTCTATAATTTCCTTTTTTTATTTTAGAGCTTCTTTTCCTTTGCTGAGATTTTTCTTTTCTTCTTCTTCTTCTTTTAATGTTTCAATAGAATTTATAAGTAACCATTGATGTCCTTTTGTGACGGGTACTTTAAATTCCTTGTCATATCATCCCACCATCTGATTCATGTCAGTACTGGCCTCGGTTGTCATCTCTAATGCAAATTGTGGCTTTCCTGGTTCTGGGTCTGATGAGTGATTCTCTGCTGCACCCTTCATATTTTGCTTATTGGCTGAGAGAACCTTTAATCCTCTTTAAATCTCGTATTTCAGTCACCCAGGTTAGCATGTCCCCCTGTCTTCCTTTTCGAGCTTTAGCTCTGATGAGAGCTTGGTTTATGAGCTCTTGCAGTACCATCCTGGTCGATTTTGTTTTTCTGATGTTGCCATGCCACCTCCTTACCCCCACCCCATTCTGTTCCCGCTCTTATCATCTGTGACAGCAAAAGGCTCCCATCTCCTTGGGGTTTTTTCTAGGTGGCCTTTGGGGGAAGAAAGGAAGACTGCGCAGTCTCTTTGTGCCACTGTGGGGAGAGTAGAAGACACAGGGCTCTGCTGATGTCACCACCTGAGGTCTATCTACCATTGCTGCTGAAGATGGTGGCCTCCAATAGTGCCATGGCTAGGGCTCTGGCTGTGGAACAGCGCTATGTCCTTACACGGCTTGGTCCTGGGACCCTGACTAGGAATGATGAGGGAATGAAGAAACGCTACGGACACACAGACACAGGTATAGAAAAACTGGGGTCAGGTGGGCTGTGCTGATGGAGGAGCCACAACAGGACAGAAGTTCAGTGCGTCTATTATATACAGTGAACAGGGAGGAGGGGTACTGTAGACAGCTAAGCAAGGAGGCAGAGTTATACATACAGAAAAGCAGGGAGGCATTTGAGCAAGGAGCAGGGTTATACACAGAAAAACAAGGAGGCAGGGTTATTACATACAACTGAACAAGGAGCAGTCTCTGCAGTGGAGAAGTCTTCAGCCCATCAACATCTGGAAGAAAAAGCTGCACTGGACATTTTCTACACACACTGTCAACATTCACACTCGGACCAGAGGAAGGCTTTGCTGTCTCTCTAACCTCACCCAGGGAAGGCTTTGCCAATCTCGTGGGTCTGAGGCACTGGGGTCCTTGATGTGGCGTGCCAAACACTACACATTCACTCAGGACTTCACTCACTCCCCAGAGAACCAGAGTTGGCATGGTGAGTGATTTCACCACTCGGCTGATGCAGGTGGATTGTATATAGTCCTGGCTGTAGTACAGCAGATGTTGAAGGGTGTGTGTGTGTGTGTGTGTGTGTGTGTGTGTGTGTGTGTGTGTGTTGTTCTGCATGGTGTTTGAGTACAGAGGTCAAAAGAGGATGTCAGATGTCCTCTCTCTCACTCTCAGCCTTAATCCATTGAGACAGGTCTGTCACGGTACCTGGAGCTAGGGTGGTAGCCAACAAGCCCCAGTGATCCCTATGTCATGTCTCTGTCCCCCAAAGTGGATTCAAACTCAGCTCCTCATGCTTTTCCACTGAGACATCACCCTGGACCCAATATATTGAAGTTTTAATCTGATTTTTCAGCTTTGTTTATATGATCTGGAGTCTAAGTCAATTATGACTCACGTGTCTGCCTTTTATCCTTTAAATTTTTGTTTTCCCCCTTCCATACTCCCTATTTGGGGGTGGGGAGGGTTGTTCTCCTCTCTTGATTCTTTTTTTTTTTTTATTTAATGCCAAATGCTGTTTATTGAAGGAGGGAAGAGGTCTTAAATACAGGCTTACAGCACAATGGGAGAACCCCGGAGGGCAGAGGTTCACTACCGATGTTTTATAATCTTGCATCTAAGCTGTTAACGCCCAATATGCAGGATACACAGACAAGGAACTTCCCCTAAGCATTCAGGAGGGTGGAACTCGGGAGGGAATTAGCATAGGGAGGATATCAAGGTCTCTCTTGATTCTTTTATTGTAATTTTCATGGCGTTTTTAAGAACAACTGGAAATTGGGTCAGTATAGTCGACACTCTATCTTAAACAGAATCTGCAGAATCTTCTGTAGATCTGTAGATGGCACCCAGGCCTGTTATGGGAACCAAGTGCTCCACCACAGAACTCCACACCCAGCCCTGTGTATTCTCCTGTGTATCTATGCTCATGGTCCCTTCCTCCTTCCCAATATTACTTACTTCTGTTTCTAGCTTTTCTCCCCCTTTAAAGTCAGACTATGAATCCGAGTCTTGTCTCTTTTATTTTTGTTGGAATTTTAAAGCAGCCGTTATTGAGGTCACATTTGGTTTGTATTTCATTAGTTTCATTTCATTATTATGAAATTTCCCCTCCTACTCTCTGGGTAATTATTGTCTTCCTTGTTTTCTTTCTACAAGTGAAAGAAAACTCATTTCTTTTGTTTTCAATTGTCTTTATTTTTTAAAACTTAACAAGACTTTTCCCCCCTGGGTTTTCTTTTGGGTGTACTCAAGAACTTTGAACCTCCAATACTCTAATTGGCATTACTTCAGGGATTATTATTTCCTTTGTGTTTCTTCTTTAGAAAATAATTATTTATGCTGGGCATGGTGACACATGCCTTTTGTCCCAGCACTCAGGAGGCAGGGGCAGGCAGATCTCTGAGTTCAAAGCCAGCCTGGTCTACAGAGTGAGTTTCAGGGAAATCAGGGCTACAGAGAGAAACCCTGTCTTGAAAAGCAAAACAAAAAGAAGGAGAAGAGGAAGGAGGAGGAGGAGGAGGAGGAGGGGGAGGAAGAAGAAGAAGAAGAAGAAGAAGAAGAAGAAGAAGAAGAAGAAGAAGAAGAAGAAGAAAGTTATTTGTGAGATTTGAATTTCTGACTGCCATTAGAATTATGGGTAGGCGGCAAGAGGATAAGGATGGAGCAGGGTGAAACTACATTTTGTATTAATTTCTCAGTTATTGCGTCATGGTAAGGAAACAGAATAACTCCTACATTTTTTAATTCACTTAGATGTCCCTATGGCTGAGTTCAGTGGCTTTGGTAATAGCTTCATGCATATTTGAAGAGAATGATAGTCTCGAGGGGTTCACTGTGTTATGTAGACAATAAAGGGAAGAACTTCCACTGAAGCGTTGAAGCAAGGGCTTGTGCTTAGTGACTGGGTCATGCACCCCCACTATTTGGGCTTTGGAAAGTCTTTCTCATAGGGGGCTACCCTGTTCACTGTGGAATGCTTAGTAGCATCCTTTGTCTCTAACCTACTGGATGTCAGTGACATCTCTACCAGTTCTTTCATCCAGAAATAGCTTCAGATGTTGCTAATAGTCCTCTGGGTACAGAATCACCACAACTTGGGAACCAGAACTGCTCTAAATTTCATATCTACGAATTACATTTAATCCACATCATAAATATATATTATACATCTTGATTTTACAAATAACAATCTATAAGCAGAACAAATATCCATAAACAGAAGTCCGAGGAAGTTAAATGTAATCTAAGCATCATTTATAATTTCAAACAGAACCCAAAACAAACAAAAATCAAAGCCAGAGAGCTGGGGAAATGATTCAGTGGGCAAGAAGACTTGCTGTGCAAGCATGGCGACCTGAATTCGAATCCCAAGGATACACATAGATAGCCTGGTGTGACTGAATACATGTCTGTAAGCCCAGAGCTGTAGGAGAGAGAGACAGGATTGCTAGGGCCTGCTCCCTGCCAGGCTGGCTTCAAGTTCAGTGAGAGACCCTGTCTCAAGAGAGTGAGGAAGAGTGTTATAGAGCAGGGCACCCAGTGTCCTCTTCTGGCCTCCACGTGTGCACATGCATCATGAGCACACACATAAACACACAAAGAACTCAGCGTCAACTTACGTGCCCTTCAGCACATAACGGAACACAAACACAAAGAAATGTGGAACAAATTAACTGCTTGACTTATTTGGGATGATTAGCTCTCAGAACTAACGCTGAGAGAAAACTGAAGGTGCAGACATCTTTTAGCTAAACAGACTAGTCGGCATCACTTTTCCCATTTCTCTGTGGATTCTAATTAGCTTTCCTTGTCATTTATTTTCCCACTTCTGGATCTGTCCCTGTGACTGTGAGGGCCATGGCTTTGACTCTCTCTCTCTCTCTCTCTCTCTCTCTCTCTCTCTCTCTCTCTCTCTCTCTCTCTCTCTCTCTCAAGAAGCTGGTTTTCCTCAAGTGGCAATGGCTGGCTCTCTTCCTCCTGTTCACATTTATGTGCAAGAAAGAAGCAGGATGTTGGGGGGGGGGGACCTGGTGACTGACAACTGTCAGGACAGGACAGAGCAGGACTGCAGATAGTAGACACCTTTCTCCCAGCCTGGCACTGTTGGGCATTGCCAGGCAGCTGGGAATGATGCCAGAACTGACCTTGGTTGGATGGACCTCAAGGGTGCTGCCAGAGCCCTACTCCCCCACTCCCTACATCTCTGTGGGGTCCTTTAACGTTGGCATCCCCTTTCCTTTGTCTTAGGGGATCCCAGGACCTTTCTGCCTGGACTTTCATTTCTGTGAGGTTTGGAGAAAGCAGCAGGAAATCAAGGCACACAGCTGAATCAGTTGCCACTCAAGGGTTTGTCTACAGCTTCCAGATATTGCTGGTGTTTCCCCTTCTTTCTTGTCCATGCTTGTAAGTTCATGTGTGTGTAAAAGTACACACTCATCCCTCCAGAGTTCAGGGGATTGGTTACAGGACCCCCCTAGATACCCAAACCCAGGAATGCTTAAGCCCTTTTATAAAATGGCATACAAGTTCGTGTGTGTGTGTGTGTGTGTGTGTGTGTGTGTGTGTGTGTGCGCATTTAGTCATGTACATCCTTCTGTAGACTGTAAGTTATTTCTAGACTCCTTATAATATAATGCACTTGCTGTGTAACTGATTGTTGTAGTACACTGTTTAGAAAATAATGACAATAGAAAACGAGGCCTGGAGGGTTGTCCAGAGCCCCTGGTCCAGGTCACTCCCTGTCTTGGATGGCTTCTTCCAGTCTTCATCTATGGTAAGTACATGTTTGCTTAGGAAGGTTAAAATCCACATGCATGTGAGTGATCCTAACAACCTCACTGCCCTTTCACAACGGCTGCCTGGATGGTTTTATTTATCAGCCAGATTTATAAGCCATTGGCACAGACAACAGAGCTGGGATTTAGTTCTTTTCAGCATCTTGTCTGTGATTTTTAGAGGTGTCACCTCAACTGCTTGCATCTTATCTTCCCCGTTATTGAAATGAAGGTGAGAGTCTCTTCTACAGTCGTGTTGGGAATGTTAGAAGAGACATTCTGGGTCCAAGAAGGGGAAATCTCCCTTGTGGAAGGTGGTGTAACTGCTCTAAGGACCACCAGGTGGCGCTATTGGCATCCTTGACTAAGCACAGCCATGCTCAAAGGAGCAGACAGCTGCAGCTTCTGCCTCCTTTCTGTTCTGTTTTAAAATGATGACTCCCCCAGGGTGACAGAATCCAAGTCTTTGGTGTCAAAGCCATGCACACTTTTAAAACTATCAAATAATAACTGAGTATTTACAGGGTACAGCCTGACACTTTGATACATGTTTACAATGGGGAATGATTAAAGCAGGATAATTATGAAATCCATCACTTCACATGCTTCTCATTTTTTAAATTGAGAACACTTGAAATCTGTTCCTTTAGCAATTTTGAAATTTGTGATGTGTTATTATTTATCCTCGTCATGATTTTGTGCAACAGAGCATGCATATTTTAATAAATGATGCTAGCCCATGCTATAATAAACTTCTCTTTGTGCGTTGATGGTCTCAGGCATTTTGTCACAGTGACGGAATTCTAACATGCTACATTGACGCTTGTACCTCCTACCAGATCCCTGCTTCTGCATGTGCCTACTTCCTCTAAGACACTGCTACTGGGTGTTCTCAGGCTTTCAGAGTTACACACACACACACACACACACACACACACACACACACACACACACACCACGCCACACCACACACCTGTTCCCATTCCTCCTTCTGTTCTCTATCATGGGTGATGTTGTTGCACCCACTCACAACAGCCAGAATCCTGGTTAGTTACCCCCACTAGACCAGAGCTTCTCAATCTTGAATTTATGCACAGACCACTGCCCGTTCTTCCACATTCTGAGCATGTGTTGTAGATAGTTGGAGGGAGGCCGGAGGAGGATCTCAGGAAAGGAACTGAGGCTGTGAGGGACACTTGGAATTCAGGGTAGGCTGTTTCCTGCTTGTGTCCTTGGTAACGTGTGCTCTGTCTAGGTTCTTTCGTGGAGTTACCAAACCCCATGGCGAGTCACCCACTGGCACCCACTTGCACCTCACACCTAACATCCCCAGAGGAGTTCATGGCCTCCTCCCCATCTGCTGCCTAGGTTCCCTCAGTGGATTGCATGCTGTATCAGGCATGTTCAACCTGCTTTGACAATAACATCATTTCAAAATGTCAGAAGATTAGGCATGACTGCCACCTGGTCACTTTTGCTAGAATTCTAGGCATTCCTCTTTCTTGTCTCCCAAGTTTTATTGATTCTGCTCCCCAAATACATCCACTTCTCATTACCACTTCAACTAAAGTGATGTCCTGGGATCTGGTCTTGACTCCTTCAATCCACGCTGCCCCTCTCAGTCAGAGAGATATCCTCCCAGGGTAGCTATGTTACTACATACTTTCAGGTCTAGTGGTAGCTTCCTGTTGCTTTGAGACCACAACTCAAACTTGTCACCAGGTCCTCAGCACATGAGATGTGGAGCAGCCTCTCCTGCTCCCCCTGGGCCACTTCCCATGTCCCCCACAACAGCCTCCTAGTTTTCCTCCTCCATCCCTATCAAGCCAGCTCTCTTCAGCTCCAGAATTTCCTAAGTCTCTTGGATCACCTTCTGTGTCCAAGCCAGAGGCTTGTCTGCTCTAAGGATCCTAACCATGGATTAAGCCAGCCCTAGAATTAAAATATTCAAAACTTTCGTCTGTACCCAACGTACACAGATTATTTTCTTGTCCCTGTTTCCTAAATAATACAATATAATAATTGTTTATGGGGCCAGCAAGATGGCTCAGCAGGTAAATGTGCTTGATGCCAAGCCTGATGACCTGAGTTCAATCCCCAGGACCCACGTGGTGGAAGGAGAGAACTGACTCCTGGGAGTTGTCCTCTGACCTCCACGCATGTGCTGTGGCACATGTGTACCCACTCATAATACACACTCTCACACACAAATAAATAAAACGTATTTTTTATTTAAAAATGTATAAGACATTGTATTGTGCTAGATATAAGTCATGTAGAGATAATTTAAAGGATATGGGGGATGTGTATAGGTTATATGTAAACATCAGACTATTTTAAAAGAGGAATTTGAACATCTGAATATTTGGGAGGGAAATTCTGATACACAACACCAAATGGACCAAGAGAATCCAGTGTAAGCCCAGACCCAAAGAGAGAGGAGCTCAGACCCAGCAGGAGCCAGGCTATGGGCTAAGAGGTCAGAGCCTGGACATTCTTGGAGGAGGGGTCTCATTTAGAGTCCTAGAGTCGATTCTCTAGGACATCAATGGCCAGTGTGTTTCCTTCATCACAGATGTCAGCCTCGTGATGGTGAGTTTGATCCTTCCCCTGGCTACTGTCTGTGTCTCCCCTATGACTGTCAGTTCCATGCAACAAGGACAGCAGATGCCATTTTCTCCAGGATGGCTGGTGCCATATCCTGGAATTCATGCCTGCATTGAGTGACTGGCCAGTGTGTTCCAGGCTCCAGAGACATTCCATGTCCCTTTGACTGGAATGCTCAGGAAGAGCTTCCTGGAGGGCCTTCCTGAGATGAAGCTGGAGAAGGGACAGGCTTTGTGTAAGAACAGACTATTTCAGGCTGGGTCAAGTGTGAGAGACGAGACTGACATGTGCGTATAGGAGAAAGGGGAGACTGGCCCGTCTAAAGGGAGGCCCTGGGAATGGTCTCAGGGATCCCGCATATCAACACAGAAGGCCTCAAATGCCAGGGGTAGAGGGCTGGACCCAGGAAACCTCAGAAGCCTCTGAGCAGAGTCACAGAACCTCTGGGCACCTAAGCTCTGGTTCTGATGCCCTGATCTTGACCCTGTGCTCTGGGCCAGCTGCAGCGTGGCTCTTGCTGGGACCCACCCAGGTCTGAGCTCACGCTGGCCTCTGCCTCAGACCCTTTTGTGTTGCTCTAACAGAACACCAAGGATTGAATCATTTCTTGTGAACAGAAGTTTATATGGCTAATGGTTCTGGAACCTGTGACACAGAAAAGACCTGCATCTAGTGAAGGTCTTAGGTGTATCCCATGACAGAAGGCAGAGGGGCAAAGGAACCCGGGGGGGGGGGGGGAGCTTTTATACAAGCCCGTTCTAAAGACAATAAATGTACCCCATGATAATGGCATCCATACATATGTATAGAAGCCAAGCTTTTATGACCGGACCCTAGAGACCCCACATCCCAACACTGTTGCATGGAAGTCGAGAGTTTTTTGTGTTTTAAAAAACATGTATTTATGTGTGTGTGTGTGTGTGTGTGTGTGTGTGTGTGTGTACACACACATGCACTCCTGAATACACATGCGTATGGAGGTCAGAGAACAACTTGCAGAGGTCAGTTCTCCCCATCTACGGTGCAGGTCCTCAGACTCAAACTCAGGTAAACAGGATTTGCCTTTACCAGCTGAGTCATCTTGTTGGTCTGGGAGATGAAGTTTCTAACACATGAACTCTAGGGATCACTTTAAAACCATAGCGGCCTCTCTGCTCTGACTCCCGTGACCTCCTGGACTCTCCACCCTCTTGTTCCCTGTCCCAACATGAGCTGATCAGGCCCTCCGTCATCCAGTCCGGAGTCAGTGGTTGGGGACCCTGGGTTCCTCCCAGTCTACTCCCGTTTGTGTGATTCTGTTGATGCTTTTACTTTTTTTTTTTTTGGTCTGGAACTGGGGAGAGGACGTTTCTTCTCTGACCATGTGAAAGGATTCCCCATCTTTCTCTCCTTCAGGACTTCTGGGCCAGTAGGGGAGAAGGACCGACTGGAGAAGTCCCATAACCCGAAACAGTCCCCACTGGGCCTGAATATGACCCAGTTAAGCCTCTTTCCTTGCACCATGCTGGACAGGCAGCTTCCTGACTCACTATCCCTTTAGACCAATTCTTTTTTTTTAATATGTGTGTGTGTGTGTGTGTGTGTGTGTGTGTGTGTGTGTGTGTGTGTACATATATAGTGGTGTGTGTATGTGCGCGCGCGCGCACCCACGTGCACCCAGCTGGAGTGACAGGTGGTTGTGCACTACCGTGTGAGTTCTGGGATTTGAACCTTCGGTCTTGGCAAGAGCAGGAAGTGCTCTTAACCACTGAGCCATCTTCTCTGCCCCAGCCCCTCGATTCTTATCTTTAGTGCCGAGCAGGCATGGCCTCATCTTGGAACCCCAGGACACCTCTCCTTCCCGCTTAGTTTTCCCAGTCCGCTTCTGTTCTCTGCTGAAGACAGGGTGTACCAGTTGTCGGTAGCACCCGCCCAGGGCTTCTCCACTGTGGCCAGCACAGGAGGACAAGACTGGAGAGACAGCCCACTCCACCCCAGTTCTCTGACTTCTGGAAAGCCCTGGGGAATTCCAAGCTCATCACTGGCCCCAGCTCAAGCCACCACACCCTGCCTCCCCTACAACACCACAGCCTCGCCTATCTGAAAGCACGCTCTGCCCTTGGTTTCTGGGTCCCAGGCCCAGCTTCCTCCTTAGAAGCCTCCCCCACGAACCCAAAACCCAGGAATGGCTAACATCCAGCGTATACACAACTTCATCCACTGAATCAGTGCTTTGTGAGGAGCAGGGTCTCCCCTTACCGTTTACCTGGTGCTTGGGGATGTCATGCCCTGTCCATGCTCCCCAAACACACAGAATGGAAAACTCAGCTGAGTACTGAGCAACCTCCCAGAGGCCCCCTAGTGGACAGGATCAGGTACATGTGAGAGCAGTCATGCTTTATACCTGTGGCTACGGAAGCAGTCTGGGAACCCTCTATCCTCCAGCCTCGCTCCCCTGGGAGTGGTTAAGACCTAAAATTCAGAATCTGGGGCAGGGTGTTGATCATCCATAGAAACTACTGCAAATTCCTAGTCCTTCCAGACTGGGGGTGGGTGGGGGGGTAGAGGGGTCTCTGCAAACGGGGTTATCAAGTGCTGTCTGTAAAGAGGGTGAGAGAGTTGCTTGGCATAGAGGGGCCTATTATTGACCTTGGATGAGCCATTTGTGAATTTGTCCCTACTTAACTCTCAACCCCACGCTCCAGCAACCCTTCTGCTTGTCTGGGGCCTTTCACACACCAGGGTGTGTCTTGCCGAAAATAAGCAGGTAGGTGGACACGCTGGTCTGTACGGTAGAATTCAGCCCAGAGTTGTTCGTCTGGAAACCTTGATCCAATTCCCATCCTCCAAGCTACGGAGGAGTTTGCACAGAACATCTGCAACCATCGCACATCTGCACGTTTTGCTTGGGCTGGCCCCAACTTAACAGTGACTTCAGCTCATGTTTGTTTTGCTTCACAATAGTGTGAGAGCAATAGGCTTTCATTCGGTAGAAGGGGCTCTTCAGATTTTGAATTCAGGCCTTTCCCTGGGCTGACACATGAGGTATATTCATCTCTTGACACAGAGAAGTGGCGGTGAGCCACAGCTCCAAGTCCAGAGTGAGGAGCGGGAACTGGTACTCCTCCGTA